TGATGCTGTTGAGGTCTTTGGGACTCGCTCTGATCAGAACAATCGAAAGAATCCAGATAATTGTGTGTGTGCCATCTAAAATGAACTTATGATTGCAGAAAACTTATAGCTGGAACTCACCGTATGTTTTTGGAGTAGTCATCCTCGTTGTTTGGCAATGGAACTCGAGAATATGAAATTAGGCAGGCAGTGGTCGGAAGAAAAGATATTACAGGATAGTGCATCGTTTAAAACAGGATGAGGTGTTAAGTGAAGGAACACTGAGAATTAGATCCAGATAACTATTTAGTCCTTGATCGCATTGTTAGTCAATGTATATTTACGCTATTTACAGGTCATATTTGCTAGAGCTTGATGTTTAAACAAGACTATGTCGCTGAAGCATGTAAATGCTATTACAGCTTGTTAACAAATCATCAAAGCTAATTAGTTAATATAGACGACCAGTTTTTATTATCGATTGAGCTAGTTTGTCATGAGGACTAATCAATATAACATCACGATAATGCATGTGAGCATTAATCAGAGGACTATTGGAATACAGGGTTAACATAAATATAAAATCGATCGAGAAAGTTGAAGTGGAAATAAGGATTAATAATAATAGGTTGCGTTTCTTTAGTTGGGCTCACCAATGTAGAATTATGGTCTACTACGATATTAGTACTGCTCTAATAATAAACCTAATCCTAAACTTGTCGATTTGTCATGATATAACTGCCTAATCTATAAGATCTTACGTGGAAGTCACACCATCGACTACACCAACTCACTGTATCGTATCAATTACCAATACATGATGAGGAACAAGGTTAGGCAAGAGAAAGAACAATATATTTAATATGAATAGAAGATATGAAGTAACACTAAGATGGACCACGTCTGCATGGACGAGCCATGCCACTCGATCAACTCCAATCCATTCAATTCATTGTTCGCGCCTTCTCCATTGTTAGGTATTTCTCCGCGTTAAATATTGAATATCTATTTTCTGAGTAGTCTCGTGTTCACAGCTTTGTGGATTGTGTGGCTATTGTCCAATGCCACTACAGATGCTGATCTACTAAGGCCGATCATTCAAAGCTCAAAATTTGGCCACAAAGTCTTGTGAGTTTCTCAATGTTTTATTTTTCTCACCCTAAAATCCTTCTCTTTTTTTCTACAATTTTATACCCTCTCATATCTTTTGATTTACTATTAATCCTTACTTCTTTAAACCATTAGTTATTTTCATAGCAGTGTGATATACTATATGGACATCTAACCCATAAAACAGAATTTTTAAATATCTGATTTGCTTGTAACATGGACCTAGTAGAGACAGTGTATTCCAACTATGTGCTTTGATTAAAGCATTAATCATACTTACCACAAACGTAAGAGAGCCTAACATCACAAAAGGAGGGAGGGTGGCGTTACTGACCAGCAAACATGAAGGTGGGGAGATAACTTCAATCCACCCATGTCTGTAGGGCAGAACATTTTGTTTAATTACGGCTCCTTATGGTTTAGTGGGATGTCACGGACTTATGGTATTGAAGCTGATTGATCACGCAAAATACCTCTTTAAATCGTGTTACGAACGTTGAATTGGTTTCACTTCCTACCCAGTAATCCTATTACAAGCAAACTAGACAATTCGCTAATATACGAAGCCCACTCAAGACCCTATAAAACCTGAGAAAAAAACAAATAAAAAAACGAAAGGGGCTCTAATAGCTTCGATAATAAAAGGAAGATAGCCAGTTGTATATCACAATACTGTTTCTAGCACTATATTTTATTTTATAATCACACATAATCTTATACTCTCAGCTCTTTTCCGAATCGTCTCCATTTGTCAGTTGTATGTCCACTCACACCTCGCTAAAGCTTATTTTCTTTAACCTATTAAAGTGCTCTTTCTTAACAAATACCTTAATAAAAGAAAATTAGACTGAGTAATCATGCCTTAAACATTCCTACATAAATATTGGCTACTCTGCCTCTCGTGCTTTCTTTTACTTGCTCCCTCTTTCAGCCCCCTTGAGATATGGAACAGGTTACTTCATCCTGCACCATCCTTAAAGCCTTGGATATCCCAAAGGGACATAAGGTTGCGATTTCTAGAAGCTCATACCTTCAATGGACCTATTCTTGACCATCAGTCGCACATTCGCAACGCAACCCTCGTGAAGCGCGCCAACTGTAGTACTGATTAAAACAATCTACATTCATGTCTTATAAATTTTCAACCCAGCTATGTAATTTAATACAGTGTATATTGTATCATTTGTATCAATTTGATCTTGCCTGTAAACTGGCATGCCTCATGTAACAAACTGTTATTTGAGAATAAATTATTATTATTATTATTATTATTTCAACAGCCTTCAACTCTTTGTAAGTATATCCATAGAATTGCCACTACTACTTGCTTGTCTGACAATTATTTATGTCTCAGACGTAGTCTTCAATTTGCCGATTATGTTCCTTTGAACTATATCGTTGTGTATCGTCTTGGCCAAAATTAGTAATGTGAAAACTGACAGAATTTTCAAAAGACGACTTCAAATCAAGTTATGCTTAAACATCATCCGGGGCAAGATCTATTTTTGTTATCACAACCAATCATAATCATAAAATTAACGTTTTCTTAGTGACCACCCGGACTCTGAAGTATTTCAAGCAATGATCTCATCAGAATATGCTTTGTCTTTTTGAGAAAATAGCTGCTCGTTAAAATGGGGAACGTAATAGTGTTATAAAGCCGAGAACTCTTAAATGCGAAAACTTGGCAACCCTAACTAGCCTAATAGACTCCCCAAATCTAAAGGTGTGGGTGGATGTATAAACTCGGGTCAGTTTTCCGTGTACGACTCAGGTGGAAGCGCAGGGAATAAATATGGATGACCACGTTGAAATATATCTTAAACAATGCGATTTCAGTCGTTTAGCCAAATAGAAAAAGTCGTATGCTTACTGCAGTGACACCTGTAACTTCACATTACGATTACTTGCTGTCACATGACAAGGCGAACGCCGAAATTCACTTGCATTTTTGATGCATTCTATTGTACTAGTTCTTTCTCAACAGCACCTGGTCGTTGGAGGTTCCGTTTCATTCGACCCTCAGTCTTTGTGACAGCAATGTTGATTCTCAGCTCTTTGACACTGACATCGCGATTACCTTAAACCAATCGTCCCTTGTCTAAATTGAGGTACTGTTACGTTCACGTTTTCCGTTCTCTTCCGTCATTAAACCATGGTATATCTTCAGGTTTTTAGGTTCCCGAGGCAAAGTCGCATGAAGGCTACATTTTTTTGTGTTCTCACAGTTATCATGTTGTAAAGTCTATGGACTTTATAATAGACCAACCTTTTGATGTTTCAGGGATTTTTGACAGTCGATTCATCTTTTGTTGGTTGTATTTCTTGTATAATCTTTATTTTTTAGTTGATAGCTCACAGGACAAATTGAACTAACATATCCCTTATATTTACAAGGAGCAATTTTCTTTGACAGACAAGAATATTCTTTCATGTGTGACGATCGGAGCCTTCCATGTGCTGTCAAGATTGTTGTCTATGCCAATTAGACAAAGCATTGTTCAGGTATACTTAGTTTCGTTCGTACCTGCATTTTTTCTAACTGTACCTTTTTTGTAACTTTTTTGCTCCTTATTACGTCTTGGTGTAGTTGAAATCTCGCAAGTAGATCAAACTGATCTATTCAGTAGGCTAAAACTGTGTTCTTTGCGTTTACAGATATATCTTTATGTTTTTATAATTAGCATTTTTATACCTCCAATAACATCCATTAGCCGTATAGTCTGCCTCATAAAGCTGTTCAGGTATATTGTGTTACTTATACATCAACTTACTTTACGTTCTAGCCATATTGTTCAAAATATATGTCTAGAGAGTTAGGTCTTACAAACTGAACTTCGGAACCGAAGCATCTGCAGCATCTACAGCAACCCGTGGTAAATGGGTTGTACTTGTGCTCCCTTAAGGTCAAAGTTGTGCCATCAAATTTCAAAATTCTGGACGGATACGATATGTCTCCGAAGAGGTTGTAAAAGATGGTTTCTTAAATTTTTACTTATTTTTGTAGCGACGTTTTAGAGTACATTTACCGGATTTTGATCCCTGTTAGAAAATTCGTCCAAGTAGTAGGTGTACCTTTCAAATCGTCCTATTTTGAAGCCTGTAAAGTCTCCAATGAACCACTGGATACTTGTGATTTCCAATAGACACTTGTATAACAGGATGGGTGGTCAATAAAATTTATCAAGATTTCGATGCTCAGACTCTGAAGATTGGTAAACATGGTGAAACTGAAGACAGAACGAACTTGAATGATTCTCAGAATAACGATTGGAAATTTTCAAATCGTCATGTAAAAATAATTAAAGGTAAAAAGATATGAAGCATATGACAGATCACCTCAAGTCTGTGAGTTTTAAAGAAGATCGAAGATTAATGAGGTGGCGCGATACTTCATAAACAAAAACATGAAGTCCTAATTGGTGTCTTGTGTGTTTGAGTGAGATTCGTCCATTCATATGACTTCGAAGAGCCCCTGCATTATGTATCCCCTCAGTTTGTATTAAAAACCCTAACCATGGGACTGGATCGTAATTCCGAACGACCTTAATCCTTTTAGGTCAATAAAGAGACAATAAGTGTTAGTTACCTACTACACTAAGATCAAGGCCTAGGATATAGAATCTAAGACTCTTGCATTGTAGCTCATGTCAGTTTGTGGTAAAAAGAAAACTATAGCCTTAAGCCCCGATGCTATATCTTAACACTACTTCCTAACCCTATTTTGTCAAACGCCCCGTGTCTTTTGGGTGACTCACAAATAATTAGTTTCAGTGGTTTATTTCAGCTTCACTGCCAACACTTATCTCGTGTAATTTTATTACTAGTTTATTTGAAAAGTTCCGTACCTGAATACTCTTCGGGGTTAGTGAAAACATTGCGCAAGGTCATCAATATGCTTTTCATATGCCAGAGGTAAGTTTAAATAAGTCACTCGGGCTTCGGGTTGGTGTTGCGGTAGCCACCTTAGGATTAATAGAGTCCTATTTTACCTAGCATATTCCACCTGCATATTAGTTGAGCTATCTTACTATGTAAAATACAGCTTTGTGAACCGTTTGAACTTAAATGTGTAATCCGATTTCAGCAAAATCAAATCATTTCTTTGTATTCTATACATCAAAATCAGATCACCACTTTTTCTAAAATAGGAAAAAGTGGTCTAGCTTCTCATACACATAGTGGCTTGAAAACTAGACTTTACTCTGTTTTGCCGCAGACTAAGAGATCATCTGATTTTGATGTACAGAACAATAAGAAGTGATGTTGGACCTGCTAGATCTTTTTTCTTCTTACGTGATTCGGACAACTTAGAGGATATAAAAGGCGACTATAGTAGCCAAGAACGGACAAAATAATCACAGAATACAGGTTTTAACAATGAACCATCGATTCTTGGAACCTGTTACCCGAAGAAGTGTCCGCTCCTTCAATTGACTCATTCAAGAGAAGACTAGACACTCAAAAGTTTACTAGAAAAAGATTAACATAGACCGCATGCTTTCCGTCCTAGTAACACAAATCTAGAGCTAAACCAGTGAAGCTATGATGTGGCAATCAAAATATTTGTGTTTGAACTAACACAGCTACATTTCGTTTAGGTGGTTAGATACTATGACATCAAGTTTTTACATCGGTTTACAGTAGAAGTTTCACAAGCTAGAGTTAATCCTTCCCTTAAAGCACTCATACAAGCGCCTAGGATTATTCTCGCTTCCAAAACTCAATATGGTTCAAGTTTTGAAGAATACGTATGCCAGTTCAGCTGAGTTTAAAGTGCTGACGCTTGAGCACAAGTCAATCTGCCATCGACAGTTCGAAGTTGACGTGGAAACAGGTTGTAAAGTTGTTATTTCGTCCTGATAAGGTCTCATGGCATGCACATCCTTCGTTTAATATACAAGAAAACATCCACGACGCTACTTTCCCTACATGCTTTTTTCCAGAAAACTATTTAACTGTATATATACTACTCTAGTCTCGTGTTACCATAAATTACACGTGACTTCATTGCCAATAAAACCGTCCGGCAAATGACGAATACGTTTGGTGGTCATTCATTTGTTTTTAATACATATTGTCAATACAAAACTGATTAACCACTAGGAAGGATTTGGGGATGGAAATTCAAACTGCCTATATTGATGGATTATCTCAAATACTTGAGTTTTATATTAAGCATCGAAGTCCAGTGTGAAATTATCAGGAGTAGGGTGTTAAGTACGATCTATGTCTTCAGGCAGTTCAGAAGTTTCGATAACCTCTCATCCTTAAATACAACAGAACTTCGCTAGTATTCTCAGTATTTAACCACCTGAATATCTTATAAATGTTTACTAGTAAATCTAATGTTTTTTGTATCTAGTAAAGGATCTTATGTTGTGCTCTTTTCTTATACTGGGTTCTTTTATCATCTAAGTTAACTGTCATTAATAATTCTGTTCACATTTCCATAAGCCTTTCTCATGACATCCAAATTTTTAGTCAGGAACCGGGTTTTACACGACATGGTTCGTCTCCTGGAAAATGTAAAGTCCATTTTGTTACTAGTGTAATATTTTCAGATTATCTTTATCACAGAACATGAAGGTGTAACAAAAAGTCTTGTCACTTTTGTTGAACAGTTTAAAAATTCCAGTATTATCATACAGCTGGATCCTGTTAAACTCATGGAGGAACAGTTTATTGCAGGATTTTGTCGACGAGGTATGTTAAATCTAAAAAGAAGTAATATTAGTGATATTAAAAATATCAGTTAATGTGATTTTTCTTTTCAATTTACAAGATATGAAAAGTCAAAGTATGGTGCATATAGATCTGTGCTGTGGAATGCATTGCACGTTTTAATTGCTGATAAAACTATGTGGTTATCAGACGAGGTTAAGTTAGATAATCTAACTAGTTTCAACCATCTTATAAGGTAAACGCCTTTTAAAGATAGTGTTCTTGAAATGCACAAGCTAAAATTTGACGAAAGCTACTGGGGTTTTCTTTGATAACCATACACGGATTTGTAATAATTGAAGTGGTTTCTTATTTTAGTAGTGTCTGTTGGCTTGTGACTCAGCATTATGGCTTTCACCAAGTTCTATTCGATACCTACATAAATCCTTACATATTGATCGTCTTTTTGCCATCCCGCATTTTGCTAGTACCCGGTAACAAATATACTCTTAGTTATTTCATTTAACTTCGCGAAACTTGGTATTATCACCATATATTTTAGTGTCATCACAGTTTTTATAACATGGCGCTTCATTTTCGAAAATGCTCTTAAACTAATGTCGTGCTCATTATTTTTAGTCCGCGTTTGTAACATTCGAGTCTCATCTAATATACGCCGCATTATCTGCATATATCTGAAGGTATTCGTTTTATAGTGTCCCTATTATTTAAGAAACCAGTAACGAATAATGACTGAGGTATATTTGTTTGAGGTTATCAGTTACTTACGGGTGTACTGACTCAATAAACCGATCTATTTTCGAGATCCAAATAAATTATCCCATTGTCAACTGACTAAATTTTATAGTCAAGATATGACTATAAGTTATTTTCGGATAACGGTCACTTAGTTAAAGATGAAAGCAAATCTCAGTGATCAGTTAGCGGATTCCCCATCAATTTCCAAGATACGTTTTTAAATATTGTTTCAGTTTATCTTAACTAACTGCATAATTCTACACATAAATATGGAACCAGTAGTCCTTTTCTTCCGCAAGAAGTTCTATGACAATAAAAAAACTGAAGAATTTATGTAAATAGCGCAACTACTGGCTAAGAGGTGGTAGGTAAACAGAGACTATGAAATAAAGTTGTTAAAATTGGTTGTAAACGATTAATCGTAATACAGCAGTCTCTTACTTGAACTGTTTTAATATTTAGTAAGTGGGCAAGAGATTAACTGCATATTCTTTGATCCTCTGACTAAACTATTTCTTTTAATTATCTTAACCCAGAAAACTTGTCTGTATAATACACGTTTTATGTTCACTTCAGGATATTTTACTATCCTGTGATCCTTTAATGTTATATTTTAGGAGCTGTTACAGTTCTGCCTATAAAACCATTGTCGGAGTTTGGTCTTTCTATTCAAAAGTGTAAGTCTTTTCCTATCCTATTTAATTTATTGACCTTCACCTTTTTCTGATCAGTGGTTATATATAATTCCGTATAATTTGCTCTCTACATAGTAATCAAATAGTAAAAAGATCACAAATAGATTGAAAGACCCAATGGCAAATAATACTTTTTCAACAAGAAATGAGTGTTTTTATTCATTAATTTAAAAGATAATCCTGGGACGTTATAAACGACAGGTTCTAAATTTAAGTCACAGTAAAAAAGTCATCCCTTACCGTGTTTCTAGCTCATTTAATTGATGAGTGTTGGATAATTTAAGATGTGCTTTCTAGCTTTCAGTACTCATTACTACCCAGTACAATAATTAGTCAAGTTTTAGGTTCCTAATGAAGAAATCACCATTAATGTCGAAAATACAGAACATTCACAAATGCTATAATAAGGAAATCTGATAGTGGTTACGATTGTAGAGGAATAAGTAAAAGGCTACTCATGAGTTCAACTCCAAAACAGGGTGTATAAGGTGTTGACTCTGTTAAAACTCTGACCACTTCTTCACTCTATTTTGTTATAACTATCTACTAAGTGTTTCCAGTACATGAAGGTTTGCTTCTAAACTGAGTATACTGGTCAATGAAGCGATTTTAGTGCAACTCCAGGAACTGCTGCAGTCGTTGTGCCAGTATATTCTAAATTTTAGTATGTAATCCACAGTTCTATCTATTCTATGTATTGCTGTAAGAAACAACAGTCAAAAGCAAAATACATGAATCTACAAGTAATTTAGTGTATCTGTCTTCAAATCGTTGTCTACCAACCTTCTTCATTAAACGGTTGTTGGGCATGTCACGTGTATCCAACTCTGAGTACAATGCGATAATCCTTGATTTACGAGTATCTCTTAAGCCAACGATAATCAAAACTGTGACGAAAAACTCATACATTTTGTCAGGAATTTTATTTTGTACTCGCACATGAAACATGACTTAAATCAAGTGCACATGCAAATCAATTAGATGAATGCATATTCTCAATTGTTCATAATGTATAAAAACAATAAAAATTTAGTTATTAAAATCCCGAAGATTCATTTAGCAACACACAAAGAGAACTGCTATACAGTAATATATAAGGCTATGAGATAGAGTAAGTGTATCGAAGCAGGCAACATAAGAGTTTTATACTTACATAGTATTATCTATCATTTGTAAAAAATTTCAGTTACCTTAATTGTGTCCTCATAAAGACTAAACACTTCAATCGAAATTATAAGAAAGTGCACGGTTATGTCTTTTCAAAAAATATGTTAGCTCATGATTGGCATATTTCTAAAGTCTTAGTCCGCAGACAGGTTAAACAGTGGCACACTTTTGCGGAGCTGCTTCTTGTATATATCTAATAAAACCTGTGAAAATCTATTCTATGTGCAGTGTATGCTACTTATGTCGACAGACAATTCGCTGGAGCGCAGGCATTGGATGTGGACATCGGATTTTGATGGCCCGGTGGGTCGACGGAGCTACGAAGGTCAGCGTACCGCAGAATCAACATTTTGACAGGGAGTGTGGCACAGACTAGTAAAGAAGAAGGTGGTACGGCCAGCAGAACGACCGTTTCAAGTGGGGGCTGGTGTGACGTATGCTACTTATGTCTGTCAATATGAGCAGTATGTAACACCAATCGGAAGTGGAAAACCTAACATCAGAAGGCTAAGAAGATTGAGTCGAGGATAATCAAGGGGAAAATAGAAAGGAATCGTGGACTTGAAGAATCATACGTATTGTGAAGGACAAAGGATGAAAATTTCTAAGTGGAGTATTCAGTGTATGGTTTTCATATCTTATTAAGAGATTCTGTAATTTTGTATTTAAATACAATCGGTTATCACCACCTGTATTCTCGTTCACTACACATATATGTTTTTCAGTGGTCATTATTATTACTATTTCACGTTATTCGAGTTAACTGTATATCTGACCAGTTTATTTTGACATTAGTTGTAATATTCTGAAAGCTATAGTCTCATCAAATTCTTCCTTTTTAAAAAAATACTTCTCAGAGTCGTTGTTTTTACTTATTCAAACATCGAAGAAAAAACTAACATTAACCTTTTCTACCCAATTGTTATACAGGCAAATTACTCTTGTTTTGTGATTCATTATGATACTTTCCAGCTATTTTAACCCTGGACATGTCTCCAGTTGTGTACTCTGGTTTTGGATTATCCGCTAAAAAAGTTAAACAAGAAAAGAAGAAAGTTTTCTATCGTGAGTTCTTTTGTATTTCCTGGTTATATTTCTCACATCACTGACGAAATTCCTTACACATTCTATACTAAGTAATTCATCTTTTTTGTCTATCTAAATAGATTTCCATAGAAACTATAATTTTTCGTAGTTTTCGCCAGTTCAGTAATTTGGGTCCCAATCCCTCTACTACGATTTATGCAACCGGAGACCAGTGTTTTTATGTATTTCTTCATTTAGTATAACAATACAATTTACCTGATCAGTTTATTATACGTGACACTGCACTAGATTAAAATCAACACTTAAAAAGCAGGCAACTATCCACAAAAAATAGCAGTGAGTGTCTAAAATACCTCAGTGACCTTTTTTAAATTGGAAGCTGAAATAGTTAAACATTCGTCTTTTAACGCAATAGTGCATCAAATCCCTGGTACGACCGACGGTGGGGAGAGCCCACTCATTCGAAATGCTCTCATATGGTTACGTGTCTATGACCACTTCCTTCTCGCGGCGGTGTTGTTTACAAATTTGAAAGGAGAAAAAGCGAACGTTCAGCAATTAAACCGAGCTGGTGGTTACAGAGGATCCATTTGGGGGAGTTAGAAAACCCTGATCCCAAACTAATGGTGCATACGGACCCCAGAATCCTTAGGGAACAAGTGGCATATAAATTTATTCCTGGTCATCGGCTACCATGGGGCTGCATCTCCCAACATTGCTCCACTGCCTTGACGATTAGATCTCTGAGTCAAGGGCTCAGAGAGCGACTTAAAAAAAACCACCCGTTTGGGCTTTGCCACCCGGACAGTATTTTAGCCCACACACAAAATGAATGATAGCTACTTTGTATGGCGCACATATTTTCTGGTGCCCCATTTTGTACCGATGTTTATGTGTCTGAACAATAAGCACAAACTTGTAATCAATAGTGTTATCCATTATTATCATATTTTGATCGGTTCCTTTTGAATCGTCCGTCAATTTTATTCCCCAAATTAAAGGTATTAGTTATTAGGGCATCCATAAGGCTTTAGCGACCTCAAGTAACGTATGTTCACCTACTCAACTAACACTCAATTCAACTTGGTGATATATTATTTTGTCAACTGGTTTTCTTTGCTCTTCATATGTTCGAAAAATCTAGTGTAGATATACCTCAAAATTTTATTTAACTGATTTACTTACTTGCATAGGCTATACTCGTCTCTAAATCCAATTTAAATAATTTGATTGGCTTACTTACTGTATTTTCAAAATAAAATTGATTAAAGGGATTTTCGACCTTAGTGTTAAGGAATTTTAGTATTCCTATTATAAAAGTGATAGTCGGAATATTTAAAAAAAGTGTTCAAAGTAAATAACACGTCTATATTAGATTTGGTTATCACGTCTATGATCTTTCACTCGTTTTAATTCAATAAAATACGTACCATCTTTTCCCTCGCATACTTTTCTAAAATATAACTGAAACGTAACCCAAGCATAATTACTAACCTGTTTTCAAACTTTCTAATCTCTTTTATCATTCTTTTGTTCAGGATTTCAAGTCGATTTAAAAAGTCCACAGTTTCAGCGAAATGGACCAGTACATACACGTCTTCGATCATTTTTCAAGGCTTTCACTAACCCCCTAGAATTGGGCACTCGTATCCCTCGATGCCTTGGAAATCTTGGTCCTTTCTTTGTTGATTGGTTACCAGATTCCTCAGTCACACAAATAAATGAATTCCCTAAAAGTGAATCCATTGCTTCATATTTAAATGACAAAGAACATCTCGTGGTACGTTTTATGGAACGGTATATTCATAAATCTTCATTGAAAAGCATTATTTACCCCTATACTTTTCAGGTTTACAGATTTGCAGAAAATATATTTATATTAACTTAAAGTGTTGACTAAAGTGAACGTGTACTTTATGTTTTGCAATGAGATTTTCTTCCGCACAAGTAATCGGAGATTGTATTGAAATGGTTTTCGCAACATTAATAAGGTGCTGAGTATTTGTTCTCATTATCCTCCATTTTACATACGGCTACGTTAGTATAATCTCTAAGTTCTTTAAGCACTTTCAGTGCATTGCAATTTGTATCACTATATAATAGTGGATCAATGACTTGGTGACCAACGGATGTGAATTTCAGTCATTCAGTTAGAAGTTTAAACTCCTCTCCAACTACTCCGATCATTCCATTTGGATAAAACCACTAGCCTCCACTCACGTAAAACTTGAATGAAAGTCGGGTACACAAACTGAATAGCATTGAAGTTATAGAAATATGATAGACAAACTAAATGTGTTTGCACTACATTTGAATAATTTACTGATTCAATAATGGTAATGGTGTTCCTAACATACTTTTGTAATCTTGCTCAGTTGTTACAATATATCAGTAAGATGATTTCCTTCAGTTAATCCTTACAAATCCACTAAGATTAAAACGCTTCATCCAAAGACAAATATACTTAATTGTTGTAACTTATATCTGTTCTGTAGATATTTTGTATTTATAAAAGCTTAGTACAATGTTAGTATTGTCTATTGATTTATGTATATCCAAATCATTATCAGCTACATATAGATTTATGTTTATGAACGAGCTAGAAAATTGGATAATTACTGTTACTTGATAGTTCCATACCGAATTATGTTACAAAGTAAACTTTCTCCAACAGATCCTCTACTTTTATTTCATTTTATACACTCTGTAGTCAGCATTTCATTTATAGTAATATTTCTTATTTAGTGTTTAGACCTCTAGTTGTTTCACAAACGATTTTAAGTCTTTGATTCTTTTGATGCTGAGAAATTAAGTACTTTCGTTTGTGTTTTTTTATCCCTCTATGCATATGAATACTTACTTGCTTGATAGTTTTTAAGTATTCACTCATGTCCAGTCCCACAATGCTTATAACTGAATAACTTCAAGTGTTTACCAACAGTTACATCACATCTTACAAAAATCACTTTATTTACTACACACTTGACTCAAAATCATGAGTGCCAGTCACTGTTACGGCTTTTCGGGATTACTATTCAACTGTAATTTAATGGTTGATAACTATCTTCTGAAAACTAATTGAATAGTTTCGTACACTAATATTGAATTAACTTTAATAAATTCATTCAAAGATATTTTATTATTTCAACTATAAGATAACCCTAAGATACAAAGGTTAGACTATTAAACTATCAAGTTGCATTATTTCGGTGAGAGGGAGAAAGCGGAAAGAATGTTGTAATCGGTATCTTTTTTATGTTATTATTTTTCTCCAATAAAGATCCGACCACAATGTGAGGTGTTTAACTACATTGGATCACCTATACTAATACCAGAACTAATTTCATGGAACAAACTTCCTCTAAAACAAGAAAATTCATGCACATGCACAGAAATAGACAAAACGTCAGATTTTTTAAATATTGTAAATATTCGCTTAGGATTAACAGTTTTATCTTATTTAGCAGCTGGAATTTCATTTCCTGATTCAGCTATTTCAAATCGTGTTCCAAGGTGAGAAATTATCATTAAATGTTTTGAAAATGTTAGGAAAATTCCAAAAAAAGCTTCACTTAAATAATGACAATAGCAACAAAAAAGTAGTCAGTGTGTTCCATGTAAAAGTGCACTTGATTGTAAGCTCTACATCTAAATTTTGTGGACGTTGGGACGCAAAAAGTGTATCCCTTAGCACACATGCACCAGTCACATTCGTTATTATATTTCAATTCATTTGGCTCATTTTTAAAATCGTATGGCCTACCAGTGAGATAACAGTTTCTTTAGTGATTGAAGGGAATCAATGGATTACCTCGAATCTAGGTTCAGTACAATATTTAGAGATCCGGTACTCCTCGTGAAACTCAAACTTGTGTCAGGCTCGAATCCGGCCAACAGGGTTACTACTGTGTTATTCGGACAGCAGCCGACTCCGTAAGATTCTGATTACTATGAAGGCGTTAGTTCTACGGTAAGTCCTATAAAGACTTAAATTTGCCGTAGTTACCTCCAAAACATTACCTTTAATTTAGTCACTTTATATATCATAGTATAACTTCACCTCCATACCGCATTTATTTTAAAACGACACTTGTATATTACTATACTGATATTGGTAGTAATAATAGTCCTGTTGGTTGTTTAGTTTTATTACTAAGATCTCGATTATTTCTACTACCAGTTCAACTAGTGTTGTCTAACAGGTAGTGCATCTTTCGATACTTTGCTTCCAACTCCATGTTCGGACATTCGTCCGAAAGTTCCATTCAATCTGACGGTGAGTAACACCTTTGCAAGTTATTGTCTTTTTGCTGGGGATGTATTTTTGAGATATGTGACAACAACGATTCACTCAGTCGGTAGTTACCGTAAGCTTACACGTACAAAAGTACCAATGAATTCTAAAAATAATTCACTTTTTGCCTATATATGGGTACTACCTAACCACTGACAGCATTGTGCTACAGCTCCGACATTAATGATTACCTTTCATTTTTCAACTGGTATTTCAATGTTCCAAAATTAAAATCACTACCAATTTATTTATACTAAATATGTTCATCAACATTGTAAACTATTTTCTCCCATTTATAATTTCTTTTTCTAGTGATAATCCATGCTTAACAAATGCAAGTCTGTCACCAATTTATGCACAAACTATAGATGAAATTCTGTTACCTGTCTATAAGCTGGAAAAACTGAACATTATATGTCTATCAGGTTTATTTCCGGATTGTTGTTACGATGAACTGGAGGATAAAATAAAGTATGACTATCAGTATTGTAACTCAGTTATGCTAAAAACGTTTTCATCCATATACTTAGGATTTAGGAAGTGAATTATAAGTTATAGAACATTAATTTGTTCTGGAAGCGAAATGTAAACATAGCTTAAATTCAAATACTTTTCGTGAGATTAGAAATAATGTGATTTTTATTGCATTACGTAACAAAACATGCTAGAACTTTGAGTTCAATACCAATTCATAATCAGTGTGAATAAGAAAATGCTCTCTTTGTTCATTTGTATTGTCAAGCCACTTAAAGTCTAACCAGTAGCCGTAAATACTCATATATATATGTTTTCTAATTATCATGGTCTGTGCGAACACTAATAGTGAAGATTCGAACTATGCCTAACGTGCACCCAGAAGGTCATACGCATTTGAGTCTTTACTACTGTCATGGCTTTTGAGATGAAAATTCTTTGGAATATAGTCAGTGAACCATTTAGATGCCTGTCTTTCCAATGTACACGGTTTTGTGCGAACATGTAAAATCACAAACTGATCTAAGTTAAACAACCATCTAAAAGCTGAAAGCACTGGACGGCCATTTCGCTCTGGTATGGAACTCCTCAACGTTGCTCATCCTCGACCCACAACCAGAAATCGAAACCACGACGTTGAGTTTCACGGGCAAACCTTTAATGCATGTGGTACTAATTGTGTACAAATCTAACTTAAATCAATTAACGATATTGCGCGACCATCTTCCACTGTCTTTAATGGATATCTTCCTCACATCTAACTTTAATTTCACCGGTCGCGGCCGTCCAGCGCTTCTAGGTTTTCAATGGTTGCCCAAGTTAGATCGGTTCGTGATTTCGATAAAATTCAACTATCTCAACAGTTTCATACTAAAAGTTATTATCAGATTATTGATCCTCATGTTATTTAGCGTGGAACTGACTTCTCTGTTGTGTGGCACTTTCTGTCTTTTGATCAGTTCTTGTAACTTGCTAAATGAAATTTGTATTCCTACATACCTATTACATTTATTATCTTAAATTTACGTTTATAGATCAATGTTAGCAGAAAGTCAACACGGGAATGAATTAGTTTACATGTGCAGATGTCCACTAAAAGTTACCACCGATTCAGTACAATCGTTGAAACAGTCTGTTAATCACTTAGGAACTCTATTTTTAACTGGTAGAAAACCTGTTTCAGATTCACAAGGACTACCACTTATTAAAATTCGATTTTAACATTTTATTTTTCCATTTGCATGTACATTTTTGCCGTTATTGGTAATATACATTCTTGAATTATATCTTAGTCCTTTTGTCGTCCTTAGATTTGGGATAATATTTGTAGTAGTGATAATAATGCGTAAATATGTTTTGCCTAGCGCAAATGTTCGTAAGCACTAGTTACACCAAATCAGCAAAACATATGAGTTTAACACAATGAATAGCGAACGAGTCAAGATGGTATACTAACAATGTTAATAAAATGGATTAGGCATTGAGAATATAGAAAAACGAATACTTAAACTCAAGATCTAGAAGAAAATAGACAGTTCATTCATCCACATCACTGAGACATGTCACCCAAAGTCTCCGAACGCGGACCCCAACCAGGTAATCTTCATCTATCAAAACGGTTCGACGAGCAATTAGTTCCTTCATAAACCAATGTTACATCTTGGCCCGGACGAATTTAGCTTTCTTCCAGCTTGCATCACTCAACGCTGCGCGTCAGTGTTGACACTAGTTGAGCATAAGTAATGCGCATCCTAGCCACAGTCGATAAAAATTCACAGCCTTCTCAACCGGCTTTCCGTCTTTGCTTAGTGTCCTATACCTAACCCCATTATCGCTCACTGGGTCGTTCCACAATACGTGACCAGTGCTTTGGAGATAATTATAGTCAAAAACCTTAATCTTTCATTTTTAAAGGCTGTTTCATAGGGTAATAAAGAGCTGACTGTTGTAAAACACCCATTGGTTGACAGGTGGAGATCTCAGACTACAAGTAATGCAGGTTGGGAAACAAGAACCTACTTCTCCATAGTGGATATGTCCGAAATGAGTAAACTAAAAAATCTGCTATGTATACAGAACAGCTTGTAATTTCCCTTCAACTTTGAGCCCCGAAATTATTTAATGACGTACGTCAGCAACCATGTACAAATTTGTGCATTCTCTGTGTGTGGAAGCTCCCATACTCCAAAAAATGATGCAGATAGTTGCATTTTTCACAATTACAACCCAACAGTTGAATGCCGAATGACTTACTTCTTCACTTATTAGTATTCAGTTAACTTATAGACTGGAATTAAGCTGTCCTCATAGACTTTTCAAACCCACTTTCTCCGATCGTGTGGATAGAAGCACACCAAATACTATAGGGTTGCGTAAAATGAATCACATTCTAGAGTTCTGTAATAAAAATTTCAAACTGTGCAATAGAGACAAATGAGAATGAGTGAGATATTTCAGTCTTGTGTTCACTTTCACAGTTGAAATCACGGGTTGATCTAACCTAGACCACCATTGGAAACTGGAGGGTCATTTCGTTCTAGTATAGGACTCAGCAGTGCTCATTCACGACCTCGCAAGCGGAACTTGAAACAGCCGTCCAGTGCTGCAAGGTTTTTAATTGTGGTCTAGCTTAGACTGACTCGTGATTTCAGTTATGGAAATACTACGACCTCCACAAGTTCACCATACCAATAATAATGTCCATTTACCAGTTGTTTTATTGACATACCAGAAGACACGTGTTTTTTCGGATACCCTCACATAGAAATGAGGCATCTTTTAAAAATAATCTACAACATAAAACGAATTTGATACAGAAGAGCTGAGAACCATTCCAATTTAGTAAGAATATTTTTATTGTCTCTGGTCACTCACGTTTCACAAGAAAGAATATTAACGAATGCAATATATAGTTATGTACAAAATCGGTATTTTAACAATGATATGTATTGCTTCTTATGTAATTAATTATAAACCGAAAGCTGTAACGGCCTTATATTCGCTTAGAACAGAAACCTACGCAAGTTAATGCTTGTTCAAACAGGTATAAAACAACGTTTATGTGACATTCGATCGTGGACAATGCAATAAGAAGACAAATGTTTTCAGAATTATGCGATATATTAGACTTTCAGGTAATATCGAAGCGATCGGCACAGGAAGCACGTATACCAAAAGAGACTGATCAGTTGCAGCCCTAAATATCATTGGGAAGCTCTAAACAACCAACATATATGAATAAAAAGCTTTTGACCTGTTCAACTACGTGTTTAGCAACAGAGGATGATAGATGTTTATGATCTCGTATTGGGTTATTTGATTTGTTTTTGCAACCATTTTGGTACCCTTATTTTCCTATTGATTTGTGCTTCTTCATGTAATTAATTATAGGTTTCTGTCTATGCACAGCTTTCATGCGTGATGCTTTATCCTGTCTCAATAGCTACTTGACATTATATTACTTCCCTCATCGATGCATGCAAGCCATGTAACACTACGATAAGTCGTTTAATCAATCCACTCACTTCAATAATTAATCGCTACATCAATCCGTGCATCATATAATTCAATATACACAGGTTCCAGACCTTACTTCATAGGCTGCTGACGACACTGTTTGAAATATGTTCATTCCCGAAATATTTCAAAATGTTTTCGGTATTGCCTTATCAAGCAAATTCAAGCACACAACAAGGAAAAACTAGGATCAAAAACATTTAAAATCAGGTTGAATTAATTTGGTATTCAATAAAGCGACCCAAAAAGATGAACAGTTAGTTAGAACGATCAGTTATCAGATTTTAATGATATATTTTCTAGGGGGTTTGACAGTAATGATACACGCTAACTGATTGATTGTAATCTTAATTTTCTATAATAAAAATTAAAATCTGATTAATTGACAAGGAATGAGAACGATAGAACACAGAAAAATAGTTTCAAGTCTATTTTTGTAATTATTCATTTTTATCGTAATGGAGACATGTACAGTACTAACAGATTTAGCGCCGTATATGTGAGTCGACTTAATAACCTTTTCAATAACTCAAGTAAAATATGTTCTATCTCATGGTAATGAACATGAAATAAAATATGAAAACAAAGGAAGAAGACAAATAAATTACAAGTGATACTTCAGTAGTTTGATTTGGACAGAGGCTCTAATAAAACTGTTATAATATGAGTTAATTGTTATCCAACAACACATTACTGAAGAAAGAATTAAGTTAAATAATAATCATATTTTATTGATCTCTTTGATGATTGGCTTGAAGCAGTCAAATTAAATGTGACTCATTCGAACTTGTTGAAGAATTTTCGACTCCAGATATGCACGATGATGTGTATGTATTAGGTACTTTTATACTCTCAAGGCTAGGTTTTAGATTTTTATGATTAATTTTTTCGCCATTTACATTACGTGTTGAATACCCTTCAAGAAGTGAATTTTCAATAATTCCAACTTTTTTATCAGTAGTTATTTCTGCTGTTGGACATTTAATATTTGTTGAATTACTATGATTCCATAATGCTTCACAATGAACACTTTGATTGCTGTCAGAAGTATTGTTCTGTTGATGACTCTCCATATTTGATCGTTGTACAATTGTAACTGCTGTCATTTGCATTGACCCTAATGGATTTAATATGTGTTCACTTGACACTTGATTACCTTGTACATGGAAAAGAGCCTGTAGAACAAATAATGATAAAAATACGTTTTACACTACAAATAAATTACTCCGTATTAATTTAAGTCATTATTCTTATTCTTTGCAGATGGCCAAGTCCTATCAAAGGGCCTCGCCGAACCTAGTTGCCAGACTAGTAAAACCATGCATAAAACCCAAAGTGTTTCATTGGTTATTTTCAGCTACCTAATATATGAAGTACGCCGTTTATAGTGATATTTTGATTATGATAAATGTTATACACACTCTAAGTAATATGTATATCTAAAATAATTCTATAACTAACCAAAACACTCAATACTTTAGTATCAAGTCAAGTGTCCAAATATTCAACCTATTATTATTTTCCACCGAACATTAACCATATATTTCTATCGTAACATTCATCTTGCTGTTTTGGTGGAGTTTTGTTCTCTGAGCTGGATGGTTTGGTCAGAGAACAAAACTCCACCAAAATCATCCACCTGAGCTACAAATCTTCTCCACCATTCATCTTGCTGTACCATGACAATATTGTAAGACAGTAGTAAATGATCATACAGAGACTATTTCGAGAAAAATTATTGTTGATTCCGGAAACTCGGTACTCCATAGTGAAGATGGAAATTAACAATAATAGCAACATAACCCATTCCTTACAGATTATTTTACCACATGGTACATTATCTTTGTAGAACACAATCAGAACATTGAAACTCCGAATCCCACTAGCACACTTAATAGTATTGCAGTGAACGAAAAATCCAGGTAGAAATAACCATTTTGTTGTTTAGTGCGAAATTGCAGAGTCCTTTCTTAAAGTATGAAAATCATACACTGAATACATAATTTGCATATTTTCCATCAGTTGCCTTTTACATACTTCATCATTCTTTGAACCCTATTGTGATTGCAATTACTCCCTGCTTCCCTTTCTGTTCTCTTCCATTAAATCTTCTCAATCTTTGGCTAGCACGCATTCCACTTCCAATAGGTGATACATGTTACTGATATCTGTCAATATAAGTAGCATACACCACACTAGTCCTACCCCCTTAGACGGTCATCCTGATTGCCGTGTCGCTTCCCTCCTTCTTTTATTTTGCGCTACGCCTCCCGCAGAAATTTCAAGCCAGCCGGCGTGCTGACCTCCGTAGCAATGTCGACCCGCTAGGCAATTTACATCAGACATCCTTCCAGTGCTCGGACGTAACACTCCTCTCCGTCAACCAAAACGCCCTAACTAGCACCTCCTCATTTGGCCTTACTACGGGGCCCGCTTGACTTCACCCTCTCCACCTCTCCTTTGGTAGTTACAATAAATGTAGGGAACGAAGACTTCAGGTGAGGAAACCCAATTTATTGTTTGATGCACAATCACATAGTAGTGTAGTAAAATATGAAAATCATAGATCAAATATATCATATGCACATCATCTTTCAGTTGTCTCTCACAAGCTTCATTGTTCCTTCATTTCTTTTGTTAGCTTGATTACTTTCAGTTCTCTTCTCTTTTTTCTTCATGCCAATCTTCTCAACCTTCTACTCGCAGATATTCCACTTCCAACTGGTGTTTCATAATACTTATATTTGCAAACATAAGAAGCATGCACCAC